TTTCTGGGACAGTCTCACTATGGAACCCTGCCTGTCCTGGAACTTGCTATGGTAGACCATGATGGCCTCAAACTCACATAGATCCACCTGCATCTACCTTCTGAGTACTGGAATTAAAGTCGTATGCCACTGTGCTAAACTCGGATTCATAATTTTTAAATTCCTGTTGTGATTACACAATAAAATCTTGGTCCATTCTCTCCACAGTGAAACAAACTTGTGACTAGTGCATCAATGCGATATGTTCTATTTGTCTAGTAATAGGAGAGGGGGGGTGCAGAGAGAGAGAGGGAGGGAGGGAGAGATGGAGACAGAAGGAGAAAACACTTCTATTACAGTATATTATGATGGCTTATTAGTAGCTATTGATGTTAATCTCTTACTGTGTTTAACTTATAATTAAACTCTATCTAGGTGTGTGTATATATATGAAAAACATGGAGGATGTAGGGGTTGGTATTATCTGTCATTTCAGGTATCCACTGTGGTCATTAGTGACAGTGGTGATGGGAACCTGGAGACACAGCTCCACACTGTTACTAGAAGCAGCCTGAGAAATTCCCATAACCTTTTGGAGACCTTGACTCGGGTAAAACCGGATCCTTGGCTTTGACCCAGAAAGGAATTCCAGGACTAGCCTGTATGGAGCCAGGTTTATTAAAGATATTTAAGTATAGATTTTAAGTATAAGGGTTAAGAGAAAGAGGTGCATGGAAGAAGAATAAGACCTACCCACATGGGCATGGCTTTCTCAAGGGAGAGTTGCAATTAGGTGCCCTGGCATTAGCTACATATACCATCTTCATTGGCTCTCAAGTTATGTCTCAAAGGTTGCTAAGAAACTCTAACTGCGCATGGTGGTACATAACTCTCTCTCTGTGTCTCTGTGTCTCTGTGTCTCTGTCTCTCTCTCTCTCTCTCTGTCCAAGACAGGGTTTCTCTGTGTAGCCCTGACTTTCCTGGAGTTTGCTCTGTAGACCAGGCTGGCCTCAAACTCAGAGATCTGCCTACCTCTGCCTCTCGAGTGTTGGGACTAAACGTGTGTGCCATCACTGAATGGCAAATTGCACACCTCTTTAATCCAGCATTCAGGAGGGAATCTCTGTGAGTTTGAGGCCAGTCTGTCTAAACACTGAGTTCCATGCCAGCTAGGACTGTATAGTGAGACCTTGTCTCATAAAAAAAAAAAAAAA